CCGCTCTGCGTGGGGGGGGGGCTGCAGCTGGTCCTGGCCCCAACAGCTGGCAGGGCCAGGACAAGGGAAGGCCAATGCAGGGGCCAGAGGTTGCATCTGTCCTGTGGCAAGTGATGGCCTTTGCCTGTTGCCCGGATTTCTTCCTGTTCTGTGTCTCTTTCATCCCCCCCTTCCCTTGCCCCCTGTTCTTTTGTTCCCTCTCCCAGGATGACCCCAGACACGAGTCTGGCAGGGACACGCCCCCGGCCGCCAACCCCACCCAAAGAGCCAGCTCTTCCCCACTTGGTGCTAAACCTGGGGGAGGAAGGCAGCCCCAGATCCCCCCACCAAGCAGCTTCCCTGTGGGGAGTGCAGCCTTGAGCACCCCCTAGTCCAGCTCTTGCTTCCTGCTGTTTTCTGCCGTGGGACTCAAGCCGTGACCCCATCTGACCTCCCCCTCGGCTCTCTCCCACAGGCGGCGTGATCCTCTACGTGGGCTCCACTGCAGGGTCCAGCCCCACCCCGGGCAGCCCACCCAGCGGGTACCTGGTGCCATCCCCACAGCATTCCCTGCCCTCGTCGCTGGAGGAGCTGACACTGACCGAGATCGGGCAGCTCACCGTCCTCGCCCAAGGTGGCCTTCCAGTTCCCGGAGGGGATCAGGTACCCCGGCCAGGGCCAGTCGCCCCCCACCCAGAGCAGAGTTACCACCGCCAAGCAGAATGGAGTGACCGGCACCTTCACAAGTAAGTGACCAGGGTGCTGACTGTCATCATGCCCCTGCTACTGCTGGCAGTGGCGGCCTGTCAATACAGGCGAACTAGGCGGTCGCCGAGGGTGCCAAGATAAATGGCCATTGAGGGCTTTGGAGGCGGGGGCGCCGATCGCCTAGGGCGCCAGTTGCCGGCAGCTCGTCTAGGGCCGCTCCTGACTGCTGGGGAAACTGAGGCACAGAGAGGTGACGGGAAAGCAGCTCAGTTGTAGAGCCCAGGAGTCCTGATGTCCAGTCTTGTTGCTCCAACCATTAGACACCACTTCCCCCACCCCCCAAGCTGGAGACAGAGCCCAGGAGTTCTGACATTCAGCCCCCTCTGCTCTCACCACTAGGCCATCCAAAGCAACAGGAATATCCGGGGTATGGTACTCTCACGAAGCACAAGGAGCCAAACTGATGCACAGTGCAGACCATGCACCCCCACTTTGGGAGGCTGGCAGTCTGGCTGGAAAGGGGGTGTCTCCGAGAGGAAGCAGTGGGGGTTCTTGAGGGAGAGGGTGCCAGGTGGGACCCTGGGGCAGGGCAGCTGGTCGGTGGGAGGCGGTGCAGCGCCCACTCGCAGGCCCTTCCCTCTCTGTTGGGGGGGGTGCGGGAGGGGACAGGAGTAGGATGCTAATC